GAAATAGATATCCTGGAACTGGAGTTAGGGATGGTTGTTAACTGCCATGTGGGTGCTGGGAATGGAACCTTGGTCCTCTGCAAGAGAAGCCAATGTTCTTGATCACTGAGCCATCTCTCAAGCATCTCTTGTCTTTTTTAAAATGATTTATTTAATAACCACATAATTAGAAGAAGCATTTCATTATAGCATTAACATATTCTGTAACAATTTCCAGAGCAAAGATGCATCTCTTTCAGTATTGGCTATAAATTTTCCAGTTCACAGTTGAGTTAATACAGTTATACAATATTGAACTCCGTATAAACTCTATAAGACATAAAATTGAATGAGGTTTAATACTTTAAAAAAGATCTCCATTTTCATTATTAAATACAGTTTCATACAGAAAAATTCATTTTTAAACCTCATTTTTAATGCAATTGACATTAAGATGCTTGCATATGCATTTCTAATCTCTATATATTTGATTATTACTATTCACAGTCGGTTACTTTCTGAGATCCACCTGAGCATGGATATAAAATCATCAGGTAGATTTCAATGGTAATGTGTTTCACCTCTACTAAATAACATGGAGCAAATTTTTATGCTTCTCCCTCAAATATTATGTATTTTTTTAATTTGTTGATTTTTTTGTGTATTTCATACAGAACATTCCAAACACTCTTATTTATCTATATACCCACATCCCAAATGGCACCCTCCCATAGCCCCCCACACACACTGGAGCCCATATACTCTGTAATCCCTGTTACTGTCCACTGTGTTGTCGGGGTCCCCAGCCATTCTCCAGTGCTTGTCCATCCACAGAATCTAGTCAGCCTATCTAGAGTTCCTTCTTTAAGGAAGATCAGCTCTTCCTCATCTAGCAGCAATCAGTTCCCAATATTCCTTTAGATAAGACTGGGGTCTGCTATCCATTTTCCCAATTCTATGCAGTGTTACTGAATAGACAGAATATTTTAAAAACTGAAAACTGAACAGATGATGTGGAATAAGTTCAACCATTGTCAGGGCAAGATTGTTTGAAAGAGCACATTTTAAAATAATAAGAAAAAGTCATAATTTTCTAAGCAGTATCATTTAATTTGATTGCCACAGAAAAATTAAATATAAATAAACACAAGTTGTAAGGATTGATTGACATGACTTGAGAAGTATGTTATTCCTCCCTGATCTGGGAATTTCCTGGCTCCCAAGTCATGAGGCCTGTCACAGCCTAGCATATCTAAATCAGCCTCTTCTACCTTCCAGGGCTTCCCTTTTAGGAATGTAGTTGAACCCGTGGAGGGTAGATCTCCATGAACTTCTTTTCACCAACCACAGTAATGACTTCTACAACTTATTTTTCTTTGGTAATATATTCTGTCTTGATATGCTGTGGAAGATAAGACCTTTACATTCTCCCAAAGAGTGCTGCTCCTGTTGGGGGTGGGGATGAAACACTTGCATTCAGCACACCCTGAGCTACAGGAATCAGACTCCCCCAGTCACAGTTTAAACACCTGGACAGATTCTCTCTAAGGGTCCTCCTAGCTGTTGAATCCTATGACTCTGCACATCATCGAGGTGTGAGCATAGAGCCCCAGGGTCCCATGCTCTGACAGTTTATGCTGTCTATAGCATATGCCAAAGCATCCTGCTGCCACCACAGGGGTGCTGCAACATCTGGAAGCTGTCATAATTTCTCCCCTCCTATTTTCTTTCAGCAAGCAAAATTGTTTCCTCCTGTGGCTCAGTCGTGCTCAGCAGTAAGAAAGATTTTCTCTGGGGTAGGAGACAGACGTTGGTATTACTGAGCAATTAGCCTTTCATTTTGAAACATACCATGTCTTCTTTGTCCAGGGTCTGCAGTAGCCACACAGGGCAGCGTTGTTAAGAATCTGAGCAAGTGCTTGAGGTTGAAACAGAGAAGGGGATTATTGCTCCAGATCTTTATTCGTGACTTTTATGTGCTCTGCTGTGTTCTAGGAAGGTATAATTAGCTATGATGCATCCTCCCTTTATCTTTCCCCCGTTCTGCTTTAAAGAGAAGGAAAAGGAGAAAGAGGTTGATATTCTGAGACTGACATTCAGGAAAACAAAACAAAAAGCAAACAAAAGAAGTGATGTCTGCCTCTCTTTGTATATGACTGAGTCCTCGCCTGAAAATACTCATTTGAATTGAATATACTCTATATTCTAAATTTCTAAAAATTAAAGAATGATATTTAACTCTCTTGTGATATGACTTCTTCATTTCTTTTCTCAATTCAAATAATTTTTCTTGTCGTAAAAGTCTAGGAAGGAATTAGAGCCCCAAGCATTACAAAATGTGTACCTGAGTGAAGCAGAAACAAAAAGTAAATCAGGCATTAAATATCTGCCTCCGTGTCAGTCAACAACAAAAGAAAATCAGATCTAACTCCTATAGCCATCTTCTTGGATATTATGCACATTAGACTAGTTCAGACTGGAGGAGCCACCTATAGAAAGAATATCAATGTTTAATTTTGTCAACTAAAAATTTTTAGTAGTAATAATCACATCGCGAGAGGTTTTTTCATGAAACATTACAAAAGAGCAGATGTATGTTTTATTTGTCCAGTTGTATTATAAAGTAATACTTGTTATGACCAAAAGGCAACTTGGGAACTCACAGTGCACATGAACTGGTTTCACTTTCTCTACCTCACTGAAAATAAATTAAAACAAGTAAAATATGTACATATAGTATTCACATGTTATTAGTGTCCTGTGCTGGGGCATCACATCCAACAGTGTGCTGACCTCCCACTCACCTTCCCCACATTAACTGGTCCAAAAGTATAGCTTAATTCTTTAACTGGCTCAGCTACAGAGGTGTATAAAGTAAGAAAATTATTTTCGAAGTCCAAAAGCCTGCTCAAATTTGCCATCACTGGGTCATAGCTGTGCTGAGAACATGAAAGCCAGATCTGGAGGCCTGTAAATACTACTTGGATATTATCATGTGGTCACCTGGTAAGTGTTTAGCAGCTGCATCAAATGTTATTTTGTAATTAAACTGAGCCCAGGGAATTAAAGTTGATTAGTAGTACATGCTGTACCCCCAGGCCCAGGCTGGAGCTATAGATTTTGTTTTACAATTAAGTTAAAGTTCAACTAGGGACATGAAGAATTAGAGCCTATGAACCTGGCAAGCAATAAAAAGACATTCTTTTGTCCCACATTCCTCACAAATTTCACTTCATTAATGACATGAATGTTTTTAAAGTCTTTATTTTCTTTGTTCTGAAATATTCTCATGTAGGCTTCCAGAGATCATTAGGTTTTGTTGCTGTTGTTTATTTTTTTCAATAGTCTTGTAAGGAAAAGGGAATGGAAGCAATTTGAATGGCCGGGGGAGTTTTATGGAGATTCTCTGGCAAACAAGGGAGTGTAAGAGAATTGCACAGGAAAGAGAGTTCCAGGCAATTTGAAAAAGATAAACATTTTATGTGTAGTAGAAATTGAAAGATCGTGAGCAAAGCTGTTCCAGATCTCAAGCAGCATTAGAGGGACTGCTGCAAAGGCAGGGGAAGGCGGATTCCTACAGGCTGTTTTCCTTCAAGATCATCCAAAATCCTCTTTAGTTTCCATGATATTTTTGTGTTTTACCTAACGATGTAAATTTGGTGAGGTAAGAATATTTTATTTCCAAATTGGTTGGTTAGATGAAGAGGCTACTAAGCTGTAGGTGACGATGTGGCATCTGCCTGTTTGTAATCTCAGCCCTCCAGAGTCTCAGAGGATGGAGAGTTCAAGACCAGCTTGAGCTACATAGCAAATTACAAGATAGACTGGGAAATGAACAGTGTCTCAAAATAACAAACAATAGAGGGACATTGATTTAGGCCTTAACATACAATACAAAATACATGGAACTCCCCTGAGGAGAATATAGGGGGATGTGGATAGGGGAGGGACCATAAAGACAGTACATTTTGTATGAAATGCAGAAAAATTCAATAAAAATTATACAAAACCCACAAACAAAGTGAACAGAATATAGAACAAAAAATATTACTTATTACTTAAGACTATAAAATATTTCCTTTTTTTCTCCCCATGGTTGAAAATAAAATCATAGCATCTGTGTTTCCTTACCATGGACTCCATTTCAGAATAGTGACACCATTCCATATGAATAAACAAAATTCAGTTTTCTCGTTTCATCTTTTCTATTATTTCTAAAGTGATAAACCTCAGCCGTTTCAATGGGCTATACTTTAGTGCTGTCTTTCTTGCTTTCCTCTTGTTAAGAATGTTATGTAATTAGTAGTACTAACAGACACAACTCATTCTCATACTTGACTCAGATTTTTATAAAGCCAGATATAATATTTGTAAAGGAGTATAATTCCTCATTCCACAGCGATTCCAGGTACAGCTGTGAACACAGTGAGAGTTGCTGGCTGGGGCCTGCCAGTATTTGCTACCACTGTTAAATGGACATACCTGTTTCACCCAAACACTCAGTGTCACAGCC